TGTGTCTTCCTCCTCTGGACACTCCTGAGGCTCCCCCAACCCCTGACAGTGTTGACGGAGGATCTGAGGCCTCCTGGCGGTCCACATCCTGCAGCCCTTGTAGTCTGGCTGAAGCCCCAGGTCTGGGACTAGGCCTCACAGGCCTTGGGGTGATAGTTGGAGGCCAAGGCTGGAAAGAGAGAGCCGAGATGGAGGCAACACTCCGCAGAATCCTCCCAGCTTTTGATGCTTTGCTTCTGCAGCTGGACCGGGTCACCCACACCACAGAGGAACTGTATCGAACAGAGTGCCGCCTAGAGAGGCTGGTGAGGAAGAGTAGAGAACGAGGCAGAGGGGTGCGCCGCCACAGAAGTCTGGAGTCTGCAGGACAGAAGAGACATAGATACAAGGGGACAGACAGGAGCACACAAGTGGCTGAGAGTAGTAAATATCCCCCGAGAACTGAAATAAGTGCATCTGCGTCTGAGAGAAATCTTCACAAGAGAGATCGAAGATCCAGGAAATCAGACACGTTCTCACAAATCACAAGTGCTCTTCCTACAAGCATCAATAAGGTGGACTCGAGTCCCCACAGGACTGATAGTCTCCAAAAGAGTCAAGAAACCCCTGGTAATGTGGTGGCAGATGTCGGCATGACTGAGAAAGACTCTCACAAGGTGGATTCAGGTCCCCTCAAAGCAAGTCCACCTGAGGGGAACAGTAGTCCACCCAGAGGCCAAAAGGCTGACAAAGCTTCTCATAAAGTAAAAGGAACCTTCAACAAGGTGGACCCAAATTTCCAAAGGGATTCTGAGGTTGCTGGCTGTGCCAGCAAACCTGTCCCTACCCCTGTTTCCACTCCAGCATCTGCTTCCTCAGCTGCCCCTGTTTCTGCCATAACTACCCCCGTACCGATCCCTCGCTCCCATGGGTGGATTCCTCCCAGCAACAGCGAGAACCTTCCCTCCAGCGTATTCCGGCACCCTGCACACACTACTACGAATCCCACCCGCAAACGCAAGCACAAACCTCCCCCACTTAAAAACAAGGTGCACCCCAACACAGACAGACCTATATCAGGACACCCCAAACCTTGAGATCCCAAGGTTCCAACAGTCAGTACACAAGTAAAAGGCAGGAATTAGGAATTCAGTCATAAGGCTTAGGAACTCAAGGAATGTTAAAGCTCAAGGGTTACAGCTTTTCATGAAGAAAGGAGGACCTGGCGACAGCAGGTTTTGTAACCAGGCCCTCAAGAAGAGCGAAAGCAATACTAGTTGCTTAAAACCAAATAATACACCTTAGTCTTAAGTTCCAACCCACACATTTTTCGATTGGTAACGCCTTACTAGAAGTCTCAAAATGGAAATTGGGTGCAGGTCACCATGGTTTCTACAATCCTCAAGAAGTTCTACTTGATGCAAGATGTCCTTTTCCTTCTTCTTTCACAGTGACCTCAAGTCCAACCTCTTGACCCTGGTGGTCAACATGGTTGAAACCGACAAGAGCACACCTTGTGCTGTCACAGTGCAGAACAAACTCTTGAAAGAGACAATGAAGGACTACAACAGCACGCCTGTTGATGCAGGATGGCTAAAGCTTGATGGTATTTGTTGTACAATGTTTTTAGTTATGTTTGATGAATCATGTTCTTTTTTTGTATTGTTGTTGAAGGAAGCTATATTAAGGTCATGGGTGTATGTATTGCCCATCGATGCAGAAAAGGCACAGCTTATTCAAAAAGGGCTCACACTGACAAACTTGCACACATACAGACATAAAAACACACCTAGACATGCAGGTACATATTTGATGCCATTACATAAATATTGAGCTATGCTTTAAGGTACTTATGCATAATTCATGCTTCTTAATATAATGGCAAGTAGCGAAAAATAGACACAAAAACATATCAGAAAATATCTGGACTTGTATGATTTATTCACCTACACTTGTACACTCACACTAACATACTTCTGAAGAGGCCATCAGGGTGCTAAACAACTAGTAATCCTCAGGATTTCAAATATATTTCTCTGACATAATTGCATGTCAGCTCCATTCAGATGTTTCTCACAGCGAAACAGAGCAGAGGGCGAGTGAGAGGATGAAATTAGAATGAAAACAGAGAAGGGGAAGTGTATCAGAAAGTGTGAATTTAAAGGGAGACAAAAAATTGGAATAAGTTAATAGTAGGACATGAAATGTTAGGTGAAGTAAGGAAAATGTTGAGAGATCATTAAGACAAAGGTATGTCCCTCATTCAAGCACAACTCCCAGAATTCTCTGTATGGGGATATGTTATTCCTGCAGGTAAAAACAATGTTCCATAAAGCATTATTATTGAAAGTAGATTGAATGAAAAACCAGCTTATGATAAATGGAAGTATGTTTGTTGCTGCCTTCTATGATATTTTAAATCTAATTTAAAAAGACAAAGGTATGTCCCTCATTCAAGCACAACTCCCAGAATTCTCTGTATGGGGATATGTTATTCCTGCAGGTAAAAACAATGTTCCATAAAGCATTATTATTGAAAGTAGATTGTTAATGAATGAAAAATCAGCTTATGATAAATGGAAGTATGTTTGTTGCTGCCTTCTATGATATTTTAAATCTAATTTAAAAAGCACTTTGTATTGATGTTACAATATGAATGATCGTGATGGCATCAGTGTGATTTAGTTTGAATGTGTTATGGAAAATGTTTTGCAGAAATAATAAAATAAGCTTGGTACGAATATAAGAGATAGTTACAACAGAATTACTCTCCATATAACTTTGCCAAAGCTTGCTACTCAAGTAACAAGATTAACTTAAGTTTCTCTTGAACTTAGCACTTTATTTCAATGTCAAGCATTAGTGCTTTGCCACATTTAAACTAGTATGTAACTTTTCTTCACATACGGCTTTCCAGAACTATTCTCTTTGAGTATTATACATGAGCTGCATCAGGATAGTAATTACCATTCATTTTCATGTATTTGTTTCTACAATGTGTTGATTTAATGTCTCTTGTGAAGTACTAAATTGTTGTTTACCGTGATGATGCTCAGGGACCCTATTTTTAAAAAACTCATAGCAGGATTGTTTTTTTCCTCTTTAATCATAATACATGTGTTAAGGTCTCGTATAATGAAATTAGAGTAGTTGAGAGTGATTTGATGATTAGGTTATGCTTAAGCACTCAAAAATATCCACTACAGGGAGTTCTGATTCGGTCAAAGGTCACTTCCACTACAGTAACGTCCTTATTCAGGCCATTCCAGATGAATTTTTGAAAGGTCATGTTTATCTGTACATATTGGTGTGCCCTGATGTAAATATTGTTTTCGAGTTTGATTGCATTGTTTTAATCTCGTTTGCCTAAACCGCACTGAGCAGAAATTTTTATTTCGTTTTCAGTACACAAAATGGATCGCAGTATGCACACTCATTTCACACAAATGCTTTGCTGCGTATTTCATTTCTCCCTGGCACTGGCCAAAGGAAAAAAATAAGACCCAAAAAGTATGAAAGCATTGCTGTTTTTGTAACATTGTCAACAGAACTACACACAGCACAAGCAGTCATTTTTAAATATAATGGCTTTTTAGTAGTTCTTTGCGGGATAGTACTGCTGCTGAAATATTTCATACTTTTAGTAAAAAAAAAAAGTCTGCCATTTTAAACCAGTCACAAGTGCCAAAACATACTTGCATGCAATATTGTAAAGTCTTAAATATTTTGTATTAAATGATGACGGTAATGTATTGATTGCAGGTTTGCCATTTTGTGTTGTATTGTGCTGTTGTACTTGTAACGTTGTAGCACTTCGCTTTACATGCTTTTGCACTTGACAAAGTCAAATAAAGAGTCTGACAGCTGAGAGTCTGTGGTTCACCATTCTCTTGTCTTTCAAATCACAAACTGAAACACTACATCTTTTAGCTCCTAATGTTTTAGGTTAGCAGTCAGTGTTGGGTGTCATCAGAAATGAATATTGAATGTTAAAATGTATGTTTTAAATGTAGCCTTGGCTTCTCCCTTTAAATACTTCGGTCAGTTCAAGAATCAATTATGCTGTTTTTTATCATTTATTTGAAATAATTAAAAGAACAGTTTCATGTCTATCCTTGTTGATTTAATAAGCAATTAGTAATAAGCGATGCAATACTTTTTAGAGAAAACAATTAGTACAGTAACCTTATTACACTGTTGAAGATGTAATAGTGGCTAGAAATTAATTAAATTTTTAGAGTAACTTACCCAACACTAATAGTAAAGGTTTTTTCACCCTGTATATAAGGGCCATTCACACTCATCACGCGCGCTTTTAATTTAGGGTAAAAGAACGTTTCACATAATTTAGAAGCGGAGTTAGCACGGCTTTTTACCGGGTTTATGAAATTCTGGCTTATGCTCTGGAGAAGGGCCAGCGGCGAGTTTGAGCCAAACTTGTACAGTTTGAAACTATATTATGACTAGTTTAGCAACACACACCCAATCACGTGCCTCGTGTTCACGTGCTTTGGACAGTCACGGAAACGCCACGCGTTGTATAAATAGTTGTTTCAGTGTTTGAGGAGAAAAATGTCAAATGGTAATGGTGAAAATTGTAAATTTCTTACATTTAAATTCAGAAGAATCCACTCAGGAAAAACTTTGTGCAGTCGGCTGCTATATGAGGGTACCAAACCTAGAGCCGTTAAACAGATCACGTGCTGTGTTCATCCAATCAATGACACTGACACCGCAAATATGCAAATAAGAACCTTCACCTGGGTTTTAGGAAGGTAGTGTGAAACATCATGTTATGAATAGGATTTATTGTTAACTCAGGGTAAATTATGAGCAGTGTGAAACTTGAAATAAGCCAGGGTTAACTATTTAATGTTTCAGAAGCCCTAGATGTATTTTGCTCCATTGTAATGCAATCTTGTGTTTTAGAAAGGTGCAATATATAAAAAATAATCAACAGTAAACGCTGACAGATGTAGAGGTTTTACTCAAGAGCGAAAGTAGACTCTGAACAACAGCAGGATTTGCACATTTCAGCGTTTTATTTGGCAGCGAAGCACACACGTCTGATGCAGTCTACTGTACTAGCTGTTGTTCTGCAAATCTGTTGTACTATTATAAACTCATTAGATAAGCTTTAACCATCACACACACAAAGAAAACAACAGGAAACAAGCAAAATGATTGGACGGTTAATATCACAGACGATTTTTATATATTCAGAGAAAAACAACAAGAGAAAATGAGTGTGTGAATACAAGTTTGTTCTAGAGAAAGAAACGTGTGGATGAAAATGTGCAGAGACACGAAAGCGTGTTAACCGTGTGTAATTTAGTCGTACTGCTAAAAATGGCATGTGATAAAGCCAGTGTGGGCGTTTGCATCCATCTTTCAGCAGACGGAGCAGTGCATTGTGAAATTCATTCCTACAGTCACAGCATTGAGTGAAGCTGCGTCCCGGCTGAACTGATCTCTTACTTGGCACACTGGGGTGTTTTAAAGGTGATCGAATCTTACTAACACTAAACCTCTCTGCCCTCCGCATTCAGGAATGGATTTGTTCGTCTGGACTGATGGGAATGCAGCGTCTATTGGTCTCAGTTAAAAACACGTCACGGGTCTCTCGCTAGACAAAGTCTGTGAAATCGTCGATGGTTGACACCAGCCTCTTCCTCTGGCCGGCATCCTGGTTTGGAGCAGAGCCGGAGGGCTGGTGGGCGGGTTTATTCTGCATGGGGGCGTGGCTTTGGGTCAGAGAGATTCCGTGAGTGGGGCGTGACTGAATTTCTTCCTGAGCCTGTTGATTGAGAAAATAGAGATATTTATAGTTAACATCCTCCAAGTAATATATATATTTCATTCAGTATATAGAGACTACCAATCAAAACTGTTACTTTTTTCCCCCTAACAATCTAACAATATTTCTAACAATATTTTTACTATCACTTTTTATCAGTTTAACAACATCCTTGCTGAAGTATTAATTTTTTTCAAAAAAAAAAAAAAATTACTGACCCCAAACTTTTAAACGGTAGTGTATATTGTTCCAAAAGCTTTTAAATAAATGCTGTTATTTTATCTTCTTATCCATCAAAGTATCCTGGGGGAAAAAAAGTATCACAGGTTCCAGCAGCACAACTGTTTCCAGCACTGATAATAAATCAGCATATTAGAATGATTTCTGACGGATCATGTGACACTGAAGACTGGAGTAATGATGCTGAAAATTCAGCTTTGATCACAGGAATAAATTATATTTTAAAATATATTAAAATAGAAAGCCATTATTTTAAATTGCAATAATATTTTTAAAAAAATTCTGTATTTTTGTTCTAATAAATTTAGCCTTGATGAGCAAATGAAACTTCTTTAAAAACATTTAAAAAACTTACTGATCCCAAACTTTTGAATGGTAGTATATATACTGTATATATATATATATATATATATA